GTGTGATCATAACACTGCAGCCTTAACCTCCCGGGTTAAATGATCCTCCCCCCTCAGCCTCACAAAGTGTTGGGAGGACCTTTATAAAGTCCACTACACTCAGTTGAGGATATTTGTTAAATGAATTGATGCACTGCTTCTGTTTAAACTCTACTGAAAGAGAGCACCCAGTCTGGGGAGGCAAACAATCCATTCCACTTCAGAGAGTAAGGCCCAGTGGTGCAAGGCAGGGAACTCTCAGCCCACCTGGAGAATAGGGAAGGCTGCCCAGGAGGCGAAGCTTCAATGGGTCTTTGCTGATCTCCTCCTCAGTGCTAACAAAGGCACAATTTCTCAGGACTCTCCCATGAGATCTCTCCCTTAAGCCCTCAATCCCACCCAATCCTGCTCTACAGGGATCTATTCATGGGCCCCTTCTCTCCTGGATCTTCAACCTTTGTGTCTGTTACTTCCTTCCTTCCCATCAGCATTTGAACAGACTCCTGTCCTTCCCACAGTTACAGACTGACTGTCTGCATCCCCCTAGAATTCCTACGTTGAAACCTTAACCCCAGTATGAAGCATTAAGGGGTGGCACGTTTGAGAGGTGATTAGGCCATGAGGGTAGAGTCCTCATGAATGGACATTAGTGCCCTTATAAGATGAGAGTTCCCTCATCTCTGCCACCATGTGAGGACACGAGAAGGTCCCATCTTTGAACTAAGCAACAGGGTCTCTCAACACCAAATCTGCCGGTGCCTTGATCTTGGACTTCCCAGCCTCCAGAACTGTAAGAAGCAAATTTCTATTTATAGCTACCCAGTCTATGATATTTTGTTATAGCAGCCCTAACAGACTGAGACACTCATCTGAAAACAAATCTTTCTGGATTCTATCTCATGAGTGGAGGTCAAAAAAGAGTCTGGACGCCTCCCTCCCCACCATCCCCCTCAGGCAAATCCTTCAGATGCAGCGATGGCCCCTCCTGATGGCCCTCCCTTCTGGCCTGCCTTTCCTGACACCCAGTACTTCTGCTGTCTGCTCCCTTCTGTGATCCCTGCATTTGGCCCTGAGCCTGTCATACTACATGTGGAACCAAGGGCCTGACAGAAGCTGAGGCCTTAAAGGGCTCAGCTGGGGACACCATAAAGGGCTTGGCCATGGTAGGGGACAGGCTGCCTCATTCAGCTTTTGCTTCAGCTCTAGCCCAGTCTGAAGGTGCTCTCTTCCCTCCGTCATCTCCCACACCTGTCCAAGCAGGTGACAAAGCAGTCCCCAGATCTCAGGCAACCAGCCCCAAAACCAGGCCAGAGTCCCAGAGGCAGGCCCAGCTTCAAAATGGCGCCAGGTCTCATCCAAAGCATCAGGCCTTTGCAGAGGCCATGAGCCCTGGGGTACACTCGGGGGCATTTCCTGTCTGAGCCTGCGGCCCCCAACCGCTGGCAGCATGGGCTTCCGGCGGGGCTGCGGCCGGGGCCTGCACTATCAGCTCGGCACCAGACGCCCGGTCAGGATACTTGTGGTGAAACTGTGAGGGCGCACTGGGTCCTTGGGGTTTTCTCCCATGACAGCCTCTAAGACAAATGGAAGAGAGAAAGTGACACCCAACCCTTCTTCAGCCGTGTTTTCCCCTCCCTGAGCCAGGGTCCAGGTTGCTGGCTGGGGCCTGCCATGCAACCACCTACGGCTACAGGGACATCCCAAAGCTGCAGCCATGGAGGCTGCCAGGGCCAAACCACTAGTGTCAGGCATCTTGGCCAAGACTGGACAAAAGGGACTGTGGCCTGGGAATCTGAACAGGAGGAGGAGTGTGTGGGTCACTCCTATACAGCCATGTGAGGGCCAGAAAGGATATGCTGGGTCCAACACCAAATGAGTTATCAGATGTCTGGGGCATGTCCCCTTGAGCCAAGGGATACCTGGCCTGAACCTAGTTTTACAGCCAGAGCCCCACTTCATCTCCGCCCTGAGATTTACAAAGGGGAAATAGACTGGGCTAGAGCTGAGGCAAAAGCTGAAAAGCAAACCCTGTTTACTACTGGGGAAACAGGATCAGGGAAGCGCAGGGCTGCCAGTGGTCTAGGGCGCTCCGTCCCAGCAAACAAGGGATGTGAAGAGGTCCGGGGTGGGGAGGGCAGCGCTGGATGCCCCACCCGGCCCAGGGATGCACCCAGCACAGGATGCTGGGGGAGCCACTGGCCTTGGCCAGCCCAGCTGGCCCTGCGGCCTTCCAGGGCAGCTGAGAGCCCAAGTCCCCATGGCTAAGCCTCTCAGCAGCCCAGTGGCCCTGAGCCTGCCGACCCCAGACCCAGTCCCAGTCCGGGCAGAAGCGGCCGTTTACGAGCCCACACCCATAGGTGGCGCCACAGCCGGAGAATTGTCGGAGCCGCGCAGCCTCTAAATTAGGAGCAGCCCCACGCATGCGCGACTTTTCCAGCCCGAGCCCGCACTCTGCGCCTGCGTGTTCGGCCTTACTCCCCGGCGCCCCCTGGTGACGTGCCGCAATGTTTCAAAGGGACGCCAGGGCGCAGGCGCAGCTCGCTGCTCAGGCCTGCGAGAAGCCCACCAGGCCAGCAGAGAACGCCTACCAACCTGCATGCGGGCCCAGCGAGTTCTCTTGGTTTCGGCTAAGCTGACTGCTCCAAAAAACGGAGAAAAAGTTTCAGGGAGAGTAAGATGAGCTGGTGAAGCAGCTGGCCAAATGGCCCGAGGTGGTATGCAGCCGCGGCAAAGCAGGGCCCCTCCGTGAGGCACTGCCGCCCGGAGCTTCCCTAAGGAAGCAGGGGCTGCAGCGGACGCTTCCCAGGCATGTCAGGATATACACCCTTCCGCAGGAGCTCCCGAGGCCAGGCGTGCGTGGGGCCAGGTCCACAGGCACACCACTTCACAGTGGTGTGAAGCACGGGTTAAACGCGGCCTCCAGGCCTTCCAACCCTCAGGACAGGACCAATCCTCCGCTCCTGGCTCGGGCCAGAGCTTGGGGTCGCAGAACTGGACCGTAGCTGTTTAACAAGCACTTGTTATATCACATTATGACCGCATGTGACCCACACAGCCATCCTAGGAAGCAGGCAACACAGCCCTGCTCCATTTTGCACGGAAACACTTGCCTAAGGTCACAGAGAGCAGCAAGCCTGGGACTTCCTTCCAGGGATCAGACTGCAGAGCCCCACTCTGGAGGGTCCTCCTTCTGTCCATCCCATCCTTCCACTGTCCTTGGACCCCCACTTCCCCTCTGCACAATCTCTTAAACCCTATGTTCAACTTCTCATTTTCAACCGGAACTTTCCCAATGGCATTTAACACATTTGGTGTCTTCCACCTTAGAGTAGAGCATCCAAGCTGCACATCCTCCTGGAGGCCCTCAATCATCCCTTTCACAGCCTGTTTCACAGCGAAATGCACTGTCAGTATCCAGAGAAAGCCTCACTTCCGTCCAATTCCCATCCCCACACCAACACAGTTCTCAAGTGACCAAAGGGGTAAAAGGCTTCAGTGATCCACTCCTACAGCCAAAAGGCACTGCCTGGTCTCCTCTTCAGCCACAGCGTTTGCTGATGGTTCACTCCTAGAAACATTTTCCCACTTAGCTTCATGACGCCACATAGTCCTGGTCTTTCTTGTCCCAGGTTAGGAGAGACCTGGTCTTTGTCAACCCAGATGGCAACTATTACTTTGTCATAATAATATTCAGTTCTGGATCTCTTCTTATTCTACACCCTTCCTAGGCACCCTCACCTGCCACAGCCTCCTTCTCGCCTTTTCCATAACCATCTGTAGGCCCAGCAGCCCAAGATTTACCATTTCCACACCAGACCTTAGAATCCAAGGGCCTGACTATCTACCTGCCCAGGGACATTCCCATTTGGATGTCCCAAGTACCTCAATTTTGCCATATCTGAAACAAAATTCAACATCAGTTCCTCACAACTGGTTTTCTACAGACGTCCCCAGTAATCCCTCAACCCACCTGCCAATATTAAAGCTGTTTGTAAGCCAGTCATGCAAACATTCAATAACCCAACTAAGTGTCATAGATTGAGCTGAACACCTAGCTGTTAACATAAAGATGAGCACATCAGATAAAACTCCTGCCCTATTGAAGCTAGTTCAGTAATCACACACATTCCAACTGTGGTAGATGAGGTGGAGGAGAAGTATGAAGGAAAACGAGGGTACCACAGGTCTTGACTGGGTGTGGCAGGCAGTGGACGGCTTCCTGACCCAGTAACCTTAAGCTGTTGCCTGAGGCTGAGCAGGAATTCATTAGGTGGAGACAGGGAGTGAACCCCCCAGAGAGGGAAGAGGGCAGAAAGCCTGGCACTCACTGGCACTATCAATTACCCACCTGACCTTTCAATCCTTTGCCCCTTGAGAGCAACCACCTCTGCTTTGCTCATCACTGTTTCCTTGATGCTGAGTAAAATGTGACTCACAGGAAGGATGAAAAAACTACAAAAATGGCCGGGCGCGGTGGCTCAAGCCTGTAATCCCAGCACTTTGGGAGGCCGAGGCGGGTGGATCACGAGGTCAAGAGATCGAGACCATCCTGGTCAACATGGTGAAACCCCGTCTCTACTAAAACTACAAAAAATTAGCTGGGCATGGTGGCGCGTGCCTGTAATCCCAGCTACTCAGGAGGCTGAGGCAGGAGAATTGCCTGAACCCAGGAGGCGGAGGTTGCGGTGAGCCGAGATCGCGCCATTGCACTCCAGCCTGGGTAACAAGAGCGAAACTCCATCTCAAAAAAAAAAAAAAAAAAAAAAAAAAAAAAAAAAAAAAAAAAAAAAACTACAAAAATGGAGGCCTCACTCCACTACTCCATTCTGTGACCTAAGCCACCTTTACCTCTTTCAACATTCTGGTATTAGAATACCTCAGTGTTCTAATATGTAAAATGTAAATGCTTGCCTTGCAAACTTGCGAGAAGCAAATCCATTATTTAATGAATAAAAAACACTTGATAAAAGCGCTATTCCCAAAATTAAGAATAAATTATGAGATCTTCAGCAGAACAAAAACCAATGTTCACAGTCCCTGCTTTATTTCCATTTGTTCACACACGCTTTTAAAAAAAAGTAACACATGCACTCACAAAATACCTAAACATCAGGAATTAGAAGGGCATAAAATAAGGGACTTTATAGGCTGAAAAAATATCCTAGGCTTCAGAACAGAATACCGATCAAATATTGAAAATTCCTTTGTTCAAAACACAAAGATGTTTTGTTTTTAATGGGAGTATTTTTAAGGTTTTGTTTGTTTTTTTTTAAAAAAGGAAAGATTTAAGGACCAACAGCAAGCTGCTCACATTGCCTGAGGCAAGGCCTGATTTCTCCTCCTTAAAGGCCTTTTACAGATGTCAGCCTTGACTGGCCTCCATGCTCAACCTCCCACTACCACCCACTCTGCCTGCCACTGTGAAGTACAGGCACCCCTGGGCCCCCCTGAGGACATGGGCAGGGGCTACAGGGCATCCAGGATGTGGTCGATCTTGGTGACCAGCTCCTGGCGCTTTCCTGAGATGAGCTTCTCATTCTCGATGTACGTGTCTTTCTTGAGCTTGCCAGCCACCAGGCGCTCAGCCTCCACCGCCGACTTCAGCACCAGCTCCTTGACCTGTGCATCCAGCTTCTGCATTTCGCTTACCTGGCCGAGGCAAGAGCAGGGCAGGACTTATGAGCGGTCCTCCCACCCAACTCAGCAGGCCCCACCATCTCCCAGGCCTATAGACCCCAGAGCTCCACAGGGACCAGCCACAAATACAGCAAAGAGCACAGTGTCCCAGGGCAGCAGGGCTGGCTATGGAGAAGACAGGCCTGGCTTCAAATGCCAACTCCACCACCCACAAGCCCTGTCCTTAGGCCCTTGTGAACAAGCCCTGCACCATCCTGGGCCTCAACTCCATTCCAGGATTGTTGAGGACTGAGTGTGAAAGTACTTGGCAGCACCTGGTACACGCCCTGGCACATAGCGGCTGCTCTATTACCCTCCCTCCTCTCCCTACAGCTTGCCAAATTAGGTCCAGGGATTCAATTAGGCAAATCACCAATGGCAAGGGAAAGGGGGGCGACAGCCATTGTCACCTACTGTATGTCACACTGAGAACTGGTATAGTCACATTCATTCAACATTCAACAAATGTTTAGTGAGCCACGGCGTGAGGCACGATTCTAGGTTACAGAAAACAGCAATAAGGACAGATGAGGGATCTTGCCCTCAGATGCTGACATATAATTAACAATTAGACACAAGATTAAATCATTTCAGAAAGTGGTAGGTGCAGGCCAGGCGCAGTGGCTCATGCCTGTAATCCCAGCACTGTGGAAGTCAAGGCAGGCAGATCACTTGAGCTCAGGAGATCAAGACTAGCCTGGGCAACATGGCGAAACCCCCATCTGCACAAAAAATACAAAAACTTAGCCAGGCATGGTGGTGTGCACCTGTGGTCCCAGCTACTTGGGAGGCTGAGGTAGGAGGATTGCTTAAGCCTAAAGGTGGGGCTTGCAATGAGCTGAGATTGCACCACTACACTGCAGCATGGGCAACAGAGTGAGAACCTATCTCCA